TGTGCGGACTCTAATCTGGGAGAACCAGGTTTGATTCCCCACTCCTCCTCCACTTGCAGCTGCTGGTGTGACCTTGGGTCAGTCACAAGCTCTGGCACAGCTGTCCTTGAAAAAGAGCAGTTTGTGTCAGAGCTCTCTCAGCCCCACCCACCTCACAGGGTGTCTGTTGTGGGGAGGGGAAGGGAAAGGAGTTTGTAAGCCACTCTGAGACTCCAAGTGAAGGGCGGGGTATAAATCCAATCTCCTCTCCTCCTCTTCCTCCTCTGAAAGAGCCAAAAACAAGGGTTATTTTTTAAATAAATGTTACGACAGAACGAAACCGTTATGACTCGCGGAGCTGACATTTGCGAGGGTATGATACATTGCCTAAGACTCTCGTTGTACCTATAAATGAAATTAATTCTGTAGCAAAGGAAAATATTATCCGGCGTACTTTAAAACAGCATTTCCAAGAAGACGGGATTTATATTCCTGTAACCTGACTTCCCTTCCCATCATCCCTTATTACGGAGGCGGAATTCGTCAATACTTGTAATGAGTTTAGCTGTCTTGGGTTCCTTGGGTTATCAGTGGCTTATCCGAAGGAACTGGATGCTGCTGGGTTGTCTGGAATCTCTCCTGCAGCCTTTGAAATGTCATTCCCAGTGGAGTTTTTTTGCAGGTGGGCCGGGGAGACGGCTAGAAGCAGCTTTGGCGTTTTGAATAGCAGGATTAGCCGTGGTTCTTGTCTAACTGAAGGGTCAGTTTACTCCCAGGCGGGAACTTTGCCTCGCATGGATATTTTTGTAAATGAGCAGCTGTTGCAGAGATACTGTTAAGTCTCTGTTTTGCTCTCGCCCCGGAGGAAGCCAACGCTGCAATCCAAGCCTCGCTGAACTCAGTGAGATATATTCCCCAGATAAATATTGAGTCAGGTTCGGGCTGCAGGCCTCTGGATTTCTTACCACTTGGGGAAAGAGGGACTGCTTATCCCTCTAATACCCACAGTATATTTTTGGTATAGCACTGTATAAATATCTCCCAAAAAACCTTTTCAAATTTTTCCTCAAAGGAGAGAAGTTTAGATTCAGTTTTTTCTGCAGGGCTGTTTTGGTCCTATTTTATCAAAGCATTTGTATTCCGCCTTACCTCGTGATTCAAGGCAGCTTACAGTAATAGTTTAAAAACATTTTCGGTTAAAAGGAAAAAGCAGATAAGAAACCCAGAATCCCCACACGCCTTAAAAGCTGCTTGCCATTCATAAGAATATCAGAAGAGCCCTGCTGGATCAGGCCAGTGGTCCATTCAGTCCAGCATCCTGTCTCACACAGCGGCCAGCCAGTTCCTCTGGAGGGCCAGAAACAGGGCAGGGAGGCCGAGGCCTTCCCCTGATGAGAACCTCAGAAGAGCCCTGCTGGATCAGACCAGTGAGGGTCCATCTCGTCCAGCATCCTGCCTCACACAGTGGCCAACCAGTTCCTCTGGAGGGCCAACAACAGGGCATAGAAGCCAAGGCCTTCATAAGAACCTAAGAAGAGTCCTGATGGATCAGACCAGTGAGGATCCATCTCGTCCAGCATCCTGCCTCACACAGTGGCCAACCAGTTCCTCTGGAGGGCCAACAACAGGGCAGAGAGGCCAAGGCCTTCCCCTGATAAGGACATCAGAAGAGCCCTGCTGGGTCAGACAAGTGAGGGTCCATCTAGTCCAGCATCCTGTCTCCCACAGGGGCCAACCAGTTCCTCTAGAGGGCCAACAGCAGGGCAGGGAGGCCTTCCCCTGATGAGAACCTCAGAAGAGCCCTGCTGGATCAGACCAGTGAGGGTCCAGCCAGTTCCTCTGGAGGGCCAGCAACAGGGTATAGAGGCTAAAGCCTTTATAAGAACATCAGAAGAGCCCCGCTGGATCAGACCAGTGAGGGTTCATCTAGTCCAGCATCCTGTCTTCCACAGCGGCCAACTAATTCCCCTGGAGGTCCAACAGCAGGGCAGAGAGGCCGAGGCCTTCATAAGAAGAGCCCTGCTGGATCAGGCCAGTGAGGGTCCATCTAGTCCAGCCTCCTGTCTCACCCAGGGGCCAACCAGTTCCTCTGGAGGGCCAGCAACAGGGCATAGAGAGGCCAAGGCCTTCCCCTGATGTTGCCTCCTGGCTCTGGGATTCAGAGGCTTCGTGCCTCTGAATGTGGGGGTTCCCCTCAGCCACCACGCCTAGTAGCCCCTGATAGACTTCTTCTTCATGAATCTGTCTAACCCCCTTTTAAAGCTGTTTATTCCTGTAGCTATCGCTGCATCCTCTGCCAGCGAATTCCACGTTTCCATCACTCTCTGTGCAAAGTAGTGTTTCCTGTTGTCTGTCTTGAATCTACAAAGCCCTGGCGACAGGTAGGCCTTGCAGAATCTCTGGAAGGTCTCCAAGGGGCGGGGGCCCCCTCACCCGGGAGCCCGTTCTGCGAAATCGGAGCCACAATGCAGCAGTCCTGGGTTCTGGCCAATGCCGAATGGGCCACCCTAAGTGGTGGGAGAGCCAACCCATGGCTGACTGATGACTGCAGTTGGCACGCACAGGGATGTATGGAAGACACAGCACTAGTCTTCGCCACATCTCTGTTGAAAAGACACTATGGCAAAGTGTTGTCGAATATGTTGTCGAAGGCTTTTGCAGCCGGTTCATGTTGTAGATTTTTCGGGCTGTGTGGCCGTGGTCTTGGCATTGTAGGACCTGTCGTTTCGCTAGCAGCGGTGACTGGCATCCTCAGAGGTATAACACAGAAAGAGGGAGTACTCTCTGTGGCAAGGTGAGAAGAAAAATGGTAGGCATGTAATTTATATCTACTCAGGAAGGTGGGGTAGGGCTGAGTCATTATCGTGTCGGAGTTCCCTGGGCTGTGAACATGCTAATGGAGGAGCTTTCCTGAGGAGGTTCTTTTGCGTATGGACTGGCTGCTGAAATTCCAATCTTATCTGTAGTGCTGTTGCAACATGTAGAGCATTTTTGTGTTTTTCAGGACAGGAAACCAGGCCCTATTTGTTTTTAAACTCTCTTCTTTCCTGTTGAAGTTGTGTTTAATGTTTATGAATTTCAATGGCTTCCCTGTGTAATCTGACATGGTAATTGGATGTGTTGTCCAGCCTTTCAGTGTCTTGGAATAAGATACTGTGTCCTGTTTGAGTTAAGCTATGTTCAGCCAGTGCTGATTTTTCAGGTTGGCTCAGTCTATGGCAAAGCTCCAGGTAGACACAGAGGCAGATTTGGGGGAGGGGGGGACTTCACAAACTTACCCAGTTATTTTAAGGGCCAGAATGCCCCTGGGCGGAGACAGCCACTGCAGATGGTGATTTTGGCAGGGCTTTGCATTGGCACAAGTGATGCCATCCTTCTTGGGGGAAACGTTTCTAGGGCCATCAGTGGAACAGATTGGAATCCCGGGATCCTAGAAATTCAACCAAAAGAGTTTTCGGCTAAACATTAGGAAGAGCTCCTGAGCAGTTAGAGTGGTTCCTCGGTGGAACGGGCTTCCTCGGGAGGTGGTGGACTCTCGTTCTTTGGAGGAGGTTTTCAAACTGAGGCTAGATGGCCACTGGACAGCAATGCTGATTCTGGGATGATGAAGAAGAGGAGATTGGATTTATACCCCGCCCTTCACTACCCAAAGGTGTCTCAGAGCGGCTTACAAATTCCTTTTCCTCCCCCTCCCCACAACAGACACCCTGTGAGGTAGGTGGGGCTGAGAGAGCTCTTGAAGGAAACTGCTATTTTTAAAGGACAGCTCTGACAGAACTGTGGCTTGCCCAAGGTCATCCAACAGACACGCTGGGAGGTAGGTGGGGCTGAGAGAGCTCTTGACAGAAACTGCTCTTTTTCAAGAACAGCTCTTGTCAGAACTATGGCTTGCCCAAGGTCATCCAGCAGGTGCAAGTGGAGGAGGAGTGGGGGAATCAAACCCAGTTCTCCCAGATTAGAGTCCGCGCACTTAACCACTATACCAAATTTAGGCAGATCATGAGAGGGAGGGCAGGAAGGGATGCATCAGTGGCTCAGTTCTCGTGGCCCTTCTGACACGCCCAGGGACATGCTGATTACCGCTTTGTGGTCAGGAAGCCATTTTGCTCCAGGCCAGTTTGGCTGGAGATCCTGGAGGTTTTTTGCCATCTTCTGGGCATGGAATAGGGGGCAGTGTTCCCTCTAAGCCGAGTTAGTGTGACATAGCTCACAGTTTTATAGCCTCCGGCTCACACATTTTTGTCTTTGCTCAGGAAGGATGGCTTCAAGAAGAGCAAACTAATTTATGCAGTGGCCAAATCGCTCGCTCACAGTTTTAATGCCAGCAGCTCACAAAGTAGAATTTTTGTTCACAGGACTCCACAGCTTAGAGGGAGCGTTGGTCACTGGGGTTGTTGGGGGGAAGGGAGTTTTGAATCTCCTGCCTTGGGCAGGGGGTTGGACTAGATGGCCCTGGAGGTCCCTTTAGCCAGTTTGGTGTCGTGGTGAAGTGCGCGGACTCTAATCTGGGAGAAATGGGTTTGATTCCCCCACTCCTCCACTTGCAGCTGCTGGATGACCTTGGGCAATCCGTGGTTCTGATGAGAGCTGTTCTTGAAAATGAGCCGTTTCTGTCAAGAGCTCTCTCAGCCCCACCTACCTCACAGGGTTTTTGTGGTGAGGAGGGGAAGGTAAAGGAGTTTGTAAGCTGCTCTGAGACACCTTTCGGTAGTGAAGGGTGGGGTATAAATCCAATCCGCCTTCTTCTTCTTGTCCGCCTCCTCCTCCTCCTCCTCCTCCTCTTCTCCTCCTCCTCCTCCACTTCTCCTCCTCCTCTTAGTCTTCTCTTCTCCTCCTCCTCCTCCCAACTCTATGATTTCTGTGATCCCCTAATGCACGCACCCAGCAATGGGCTGAGCCTCGGCTAGCCTCAGACCTTGGTCAACGGGCAGGGAGGAAGCCGGGAGGGCAGGGGGGGGGTGCGCCCAGAGCCTGACTCTCTCTCTCTCTCTCTCTCTCTCTCTCTCTCTGCCTTCCTCCAGGATGATCCCTTCCACCAGCAAGGCCTTCTTGGTGAAGGATTTGGCCTCCGGGCGGGACTACAACTTGTGCATTCTGGCCGTCTACAACGACGGGGTGACCTCCCTGACGGCCACCCGGAGCCTGGGCTGCGTCCAGTTCAGCACCCCGCAGGACGCGCCCCAGTGCCACTCGCTGCACACCCAGTTCCTGGGGGGCACCATGATCATCATCATCGGGGGCATCATCGTGGCCTCCGTGCTGGTCTTCATCATCATCCTCATGATCCGCTACAAGGTCTACAGCGGCCAGGACGAGCACAAGAAGGCCAGGGTCAGCAACGTCTACTCCCAGACCACCGGGAGCCACCCCCCTCCCGCCCCCCTGCCTTGCTCGGCCTCCAAGCCCGAGGAATGGGGGGCAGACCCCTCCACGGCGGGCAGGGTGAGGAGAGACTGCAGCGCTCTCACGCTGGGCAAGGAGGGCGAGAAAGGGGGGCGGGGCCACCCTCCGGAGGCGGGGGCCGAGGAGGCGCCCTCCCCGCACAGGAGGAGGAGGTGGTCACGGGCCAGCGTGGACCTCCATAGCAACAGTTCCGGCCCGGAGGCCTCCAGAACAGAAGAGCAGGGTGAGCACGGGGGGTGGGGGGGTGGGGGTCGGGGGGCCGCATCTCTGGAAGGCTCACGGACTTGCCGAGGGGCCTTTCCACATGAGCTTTGGGTTTTGTGTCGCAGCGGCACAGAAGAGGCAGCGCACCTCTCCGTGGGACCCCCGAGTGCCTCCCTTTCTTTGGCAGGGGTCGGCCAGCGTCAGGGCAAACTTTGGGCTCTCCTGGGGCACTTCCTGCCTTCTTGCGGGCAGCACTGGATTGCCGGCAGCTCTTGGGAAGCCGTGCCCACTTCCTGGGGGTAACGGTGGTGGGAGGTGCCGTCAAGCTGGGAGCCCCTGTAGGGTATTCCGGGCAAGAGAGGTTTGGAGGTGGTTTCCCATTGCCTGCCTCTGCACAGCAACCTTGGGTTTCCTTGGAGGTCTCCCAACCTGGTACCAACCAGGGTCGACCCTGCTTCGCTTCCGAGACCTGATGACATTGGGCCAGGCTGGGCCATCCAGGTCAAGGCAAGAGAGGAACAGAGGTGGTTTGCCATTGCCTTCCTCTGCATAGCAACCCTGGTCTTCCTTGGAGGTCTGCCATCCAAGAGCTAACCAAGGCTGTCCCTACTTAGTTGCTGAGATCTGATGAGATCGGGCAAGGTTAGGCCATCCAGGGCCGAGACAGACAGATGGGTTCCCATTGCCTGCCTCTGCACAGCAACTTTGGGTTTCCTTGGTGGTCTCCCAACCTGGTACCAACCAGGGTCGACCCTGCTCCGCTTCTGAGATCTGATGAAATTGGGCCAGGCTGGGCCATCCAGGTCAAGGCAAGAGAGGAACAGAGGTGGTTTGCCATTGACTTCCTCTGCGTGGCAACCCCGGTCTTCCTTGGAGGTCTCCCATCCAAGTGCTAAAACCAAGGCTGTCCCTCCTTAGTTTCCAAGATCTGATGCGATTGGGCCAGGCTAGGCCATCCAGGGCAGAGACAGACAGGTGGTTTGCCATTGCCTGCCTCTGCACAGCAACCTTGGGTTTCCTTGATGGTCTTCCAACCTGGTACCAACCAGGGTCGACCCTGCTTCACTTCTGAGATCTGATGAGATTGGGCTAGGCTGGAGTGACCATCCAGGTCAAGGCAAGAGAGGAACAGAGGTGGTTTGCCATTGACTTCCTCTGCATAGCAACCCCGGTCTTCCTTGGAGGACCCTGCTTAGCTTCCGAGATCTGACGGGATCTGGCCAGCCTGGGCCGTCTATGTCACTTGCCCAAGTCAAAATAACTGAGAGAAGTCATTTTCACGGGTTTGTTGCATGCTCAGGGAGTTTGGTTTTTAAATTTTGCTTCCCCCACCCCACCCCACCCCGGGCACTGGAGAAGACGTCGTTTCCCTCTTTGGGTTGAAATTTTTGTTTTGCTTACTTTCTGCATCGTCCGCCTTCCTCTCCCAGGGACCCGCAGCGGATTACTCAGAGGGAGTCGATAACAGTCGGCCGGCTGGGACATTCAATAAACAGTGCAATAGGATTAGGGCGGTAGCACCCGCCAGAAGCCCGAAAACAGAAGCCAAGCCCGAGTGCGAACGTGACGCATTAAGCCGTGCAAAGATGACATAATAGGATCATGCTTACACCAAGCCGTACACAGCGCCATAGACCCCAGTCCCTAATTGTTTATCCACTTAAGCCTGCGAACCGTTTTGTACAGTGCGGCCCGATTACCATGCCGAAATGCCCTCCTGAATAATTCAGCTTCGCACAGAGAATTGACAAGCGTCGTCATACTGTTTGGTGGGGAAGAGGAGGCAGCCAGCAGCAGCCGGCAGCGGGTCCTACAACAACAGAAATGGGGGCGTCTTGAAATGATTGTGTTGTAGAGTCGGCAGAAGGAAGGTGTGGGAAGTGTGGAGGGAGGGATTTTGCATAAGGACGAGAGCAGGGGTGTCAACCATGCAGCCCGGGGGCCGGATCAGGCCCCGAGGGGTTCTATCAGGCCCGCAGTGGAACTGGCTGTCTTCTGCTTCTTCTTCTTCTTCCAGTTCTGCTGCTGCTGCTGTGTCATCGTAGGTTTGCAGCTTACAGATACACACACCCGAACAGCATACTCAGGATTGCAACGGCACAGACATTTTGATGCAATAATTCAGAGCGAGAGGTGTCCGTTATCGGACACTGCTCAATAAACAAACTATTGCAAGAGTGCTGATGTTTTAAGCATGTTTTTATTTTAAGTTTTTTTAAAAAACCCTTTGTGTTTGTGTCCTTGATAAAGTTTATGTCTCCGCTACCTGGCACTACGTTTTATGACACACGCGGCCCGGCCCAACGAGGTCTCATTTATGTCAGATCCGGCCCTGATAGCAGATGAGTTCGACGCCCCTGGGCTAGAGACTTGCTTTGCTTGCGGGAAGAGGCCGACCGGCTGCGGCCCCAGTTCCCCTTGCTGCACGGAAGGGATGGGAGTAGCTGCACCGGTGCAACTTCTGCCTGCCGTGCGGCCGCTGGAGGGACGGGCCCATCCTCTGAGTAGAGAGACCTTTCCTTCCCGGCCTGCCCTAACGTCCTCTCTTGGTTCCGCACAGATTCCAAGCTGATGCCGCTGGCTGGCGAGAGGAAAAACGGCAGCGAGTGGACCGACGTGAAGATCTGAGCTCAGGTGCCCCCCCCCTGCGGTGGGGACGAGGCCTGGCTATCTGGAACCCCCAGGTACAGCGCAAAAGCCCCCCCCCCAAATCACAGAGCACTCAGGGACTGAAAATCAGGCTTTTTGCCAGCAGTGGGCAGAGATCCTTTCCATCAGGGCTCACTGGACCATTTCCAGTGACTACAGGCATGGAAACTGAGCCGATAAAGCCTTTCCCATCATGCTGTGGTGTGTGTGTGGGGGACACAGACATGCTTGCTGAGTGTGGGGCCTCTCTGGAAGGCGCGGGGCTAGGACGGTCCCCGCGTCCCGGCACTGATCTTCCATCTCTGCCAGGAGCCTGATAAGAATTACCAAGTGGAAGCTCCTTCTGGCAGGGAGACGGGAGTGACAGGAAAAGATGCCATTTCGGGAGGCTCTGGAGCAAAAAAAAAAAAGAGGGTGGTCACCCTGGGGTTCAGTGAAGCGGGACTGCCCCCTCCTCCGCCCTGACAAGTTTGGCATTGGAGGGCAGTGCCCGGGAGGTTATGCCAACTGAGTCTGGAGTGCTGCTGGCCAAATCAGTTTGGTGCAGTGGGTAGGAGCGCGGAGAACCGGGTTTGATTCCCCCACTCCTCCACATGCAGCTGCTGGAGTGACCTTGGGTCAGTTACAAGTTCTTTCGGAGCTGTTCTCTCAAGAGCAGTCCTCGAAAGAGCTCTCTCAGCCCCCACCTTCCTGAGAGGGTGTCTGTTGTGGGGAGGTGAAAGGAGATTGTCAGCCGCTCTGAGGCTCCTTCGGGTAGTGAAGGGTGGGGTATAAATCCAATCTCCTCCTCCTCTGGCCAGTTTGGTGTAGTGGTTAAGTGCATGGAATCTATCATCTGGGGGAACCGGGTTTGATTCCCCCACTCCTCCACTTGCACCTGGCTGGATGACCTTGGGCAAGCCGTAGCTCTGATAAGAGCTGTTCTTGAAAAAGAGCAGTTTCTGTCAAGAGCTCTCTCAGCCCCACCTACCTCACAGGGTGTCTGTTGTGGGGAGAGGAAGGGAAAGGAGTTTGTAAGCCTCTCTGAGACACCTTTGGGTAGTGAAGGGCGGGGTATAAATCCAATCTCCTCCTCCTCCTCACCCTCCTCCTCACTTGCAGCCGGGACTTGACTCTGAAGGGCTCCTACCAGAGAGAAAAACTGGTTTGAAGCATCAACCCTGAGTGAAGACGGTGCCTCTGGGCGTGTGCGGAGTGCATTTCATTCACTAGCCAGGCAGATCTGTGCCACCTGGATGTAGAAGCGTCCCCTTTCATGCCTTTTGCTCCACACAGATTCGAATCTCGGCATGAAAGCTTTGTTGTTTAAAATTCTCTCCCCCCCCTCCAGATCTGCACCCTGCTGGCGGCTGCAGCGAACCCCTCCTGGGCATCCCTCTGACCTCCTGGCCTTCGACTGTGACGGATCAGCAGCGAGATCGTGCTGGATTTGGGTCCACCTTGGGAGGGCTGAGACGGGGCTGCCGGGAGGGGCCACGCCGAGAAAGCAGGAGGTGAGTTGAGGAGCAGCCTCACACAGATGTCCTCTGCTTGTGGCTCTGCTTCTGACACCTGAGGCGGTCCCGGAAGGCCAACGCCTCCCTTGCGAGGTTGCTCAGTGTGCAGTTGGCATGTGGGATGCACCTCTGGCCGTTCTGCAATGGGACATGTGGGTTTAGCAGTGGGGTTCTGGCTTCCCCACTTCTCCTTTCGAGCCAAGTGCGTTTCTCCTGTTTGTAGGGGGCGTCACGAAACTTTTGGAACATTGCTAAACTAGGAGCAAAGCCCGTTGCAAGAGGAAGACAACGAGCTCTAGAAACATGTCCCCCTGCAGCTGCACACAGGGGCCCCCTGCCATGCTGCCCCCTCCCCGGAGCCCGCGGTAGAGGGGCGACGGAGCAGGTCACTATGGCCTTCACCACCCAGTTCCCACCACCACCACCCACTCCCAGACGTGCCCTGCGACCCCTCACTGACCTAGAGCCGGTGAGGCGCAGAGGAGTGCAGGGCGGGTGAAGTGGCAGAGAGGCCAGTGGCAGCGGAGTGGGGGAAGCTGGAGGGGAAGAAGCCGACTGGGGCCCACCTCACCATCATACAGTGAGGGAGCAGCAGCGGGAAGATGATGGCCACGGGGGAGGATGGCAGCGAGGGATGAGCCCACCCCTGGGAGTGCTGGAGCCTGTGGGGGCCGGAGAAGCAGGGAGGCAAGGCAGGCCTGAGCGGCACAGAGCCACGAGAAGCCGCTGGGCCGGGAAAGGAGGAGGCTAGAAGGCAGGCCCTCAGCCGAGTGAGGCACCCTCTCTGCTGAAGTGAAGTTGTGTGGTGACTTGATTTTTGGCGTGTGCTGCGCCTGTGGGCGGGACGCAGGCAACGCAGCCACCAATGGATGGAGAGACCTTGTGAGTGACAGGTCAGCGGGCCAAAGGCTGTCGGAGCGTGTCGAACATTCACCTCCAAACAGATTTATATATAAGGAGAGATGAAGGGTTCTGTGCAACTTCAAAGCCTCCATGCGTTTATACACAAGAAACAGTGCAGAAAGGCCGAGGTCTTCCCCTGGGAAGAACATCTGAAGAGGCCTGATCGATCAGACCAGTGAGGGCCCCTCTAGACCAGCATCCTGCCTCACATGGGTGATGCAGTCCCTCTGGAGGGCCAACAACAGGGCAGAGAGGCCGAGGCCTTCCCCTGAGAAGAACAACAGAAGAGCCCTGCTGGATCAGACCAGTGAGGGCCGTCTAGTCCAGCATCCTGTTTCACACAGGAGCCATCCAGTTCCTCTGGAGGGCCAACAACAGGGCAGAGAGGCCGAGGCCTTCCCCTGGGAAGAACATCTGAAGAGTCCTGCTCGATCAGACCAGTGAGGGTCCATCTAGTCCAGCCTCCCGTCTCACACAGGGGCCAGCCAGTTCCTCTGGAGGGCCAGCAACAGGGCAGAGAGGCCGAGGCCTTCCCCTGAGAAGAACAACAGAAGAGCCCTGCTGGGTCAGACCAATAGACCATCTAGTTCAGCATCCCATCTTACACAGTGGCCAGCCAGTTCCTCTGGAGATCCAACAGCAGGGCAGAGAGGCTGAGGCCTTCCCCTGAGAAGAACATCTGAAGAGCCCTGCTGGGTCAGACCAGGGAGGGTTCATCTAGTCCAGCATCCTGTCTCACACACATTCCAGCTTGTCTATATCCTTCTTAAATTGTGGTGCCCAAAACTGAACACAATACTCTAGGTGAGGTCTACCCAGAGCAGGGTAAAGCGGTATCATCACTTCGCGTGGTCTGGACCCTACACTTCTTCTGATACAGCCCGAAATCACATTTGCCTTTTGAGCAATCACATCACACTGCTGACTCATGTTCAGTGTATTTTTTTACTTTTTTTCTTTGTTCCAATGTTTTTGGTTACCTGACTCATGCAGTGGACAACCCATTCCCCTGAATAAGAACATAAGAGAAGCCAATGCTGGATCAGGCCAATGGCCCATCTAGTCCAACACTCTCTGTCACACAGGGGCCAAAAATACCAGGTGCCATCGGGAGGTCCAGCAGTGGGGCCAGGACACCAGAAGCCCTCCCGCTGTTGCCCCCCCCAAGCACCAAGAATACAGAGCATCCCTTGCCCCAGACTGAGAGTTCCTATCTATAACTTGTGGCTAATAGCCACTGATTGACCTCTGCTCCATATGCTTATCTAATTCCCTCTTATAAGAACATAAGAGAAGCCAATGTTGGATCAGGCCAGTGACCCATCCAATCCAACACTCTGTCACACAGTGGCCAAAAACACCAGGTGCCATCGGGAGGTCCAGCAGTGGGGCCAGGACACCAGAAGCCCTCCCACTGTTGCCCCCCCAAGCACCAAGAATACAGAGCATCACTCGCCCCAGACTGAGAGTTCCTATCTATACCTTAAAATAAGAAAAGTCAATGTTGGATCAGGCCAATGGCCCATCCAGTCCAACACTGTCACACAGTGGCCAAAACTACCAGGTGCTATCAGGAGGTCCAGCAGTGGGGCCAGGACACTAGGAGCCCTCCCACTGTTGCCCCCTCCCCCCAAGTACCCAGAAGACAGAGCATCCCTTGCCCCAGACCAAGAGTTCCTACCTCTGCCTTGTGGCTAATAGCCACTGATGGACCTCTGCTCCATATGCTTATCCAATCCCCTCTTGAAGCTGTCCATGCCTGTAGCCACCGCCACCTCCTGTGGCCGTGAACTCCGTGTGTGAATCACTCTTTGGGTGAAGAAGGACTTCCTTTTATCTGTTCTAACCTGACTGCTCAGCCATTTCACTGAGTGCCCAAGAATGACCAGCAACAGGGCGTAGAGGCCGAGGCCTTCCCCTGATGTTGTCTCCTGGTTCTGGGATTCAGGGGCTTTGTGCCTCTGAATGTGGAGGTTCCCCTCAGCCACCGTGGCTCGTAGCCACTGATAGACTTTTCTTCCAGGAATCTGTCTAATCGCCTTTTCAAGCTGTTTATTCCTGTGGCCATGGCTGCATCCTTTGGCAGCGAATTCCATATTTTAATCACTCGCTGTGTAAATATCTGTGGGTTTAGGGGGATAGTTTTTGAACATCAGGGCAGTTCAGCGCCGGAATCGGTTGCCCTGAGGGTGTGGTGGATTCCCCCTCCTTGGAGGCGTTTAAATGGAGACGTTGTCAAGCGGAGGCTGGACGACCCTCTTTCGGGTATGTTGTAGGGCTCTCTTTCGGCTCTGCTCCTGCAGAGTGCAGGGGGTTGGACTAGATGACCAGCAAGGTCCCAGTTCCAACTCTAACATTCTATGATTCCATGAGACTGGACGATTATCTGCCAGGGATGCTTTAGGCCAGGGGTGGCCAGCTCTTTCACACAATCTAATTTAATGTTAATAAAAAGCAAATTTGCGTATTTTCCAATAAAAACGTGGGTGTGATATTTGTTCTTGTCTTGTGGCTCTCAAACGGCTGACGTTTATTCTGTGTGGCCGTTACGTTAAGCAAGTTTGGGCCCCCCTGCCTTTAGGGCATCCTGCGTGATGCAGGGGGGTTGGCTGGCTGGTCTTTAGGGCCTGTCATGATCTGGGCTGTGCCACCAGAGGCCCACTAGGCCCAGGGAGCCTGGCTAGCAGTAGGTGAGGCTGGGCCTACAACTCCCAGAAGCCCCTGAGAGGTTTTGGAGCCAAAATTGACCAATAGGAAAAGAGGAGGGCTTGGAATAAAAGATCTGGAGCAGCAGGAAAAGCTGTTCTTCTTCCCAGAGGACAGAGCCAGAAGGAAGGCTGCTGTGGGGGGAGAGACCCTCATCCTGAGGGAAGGGTGAGTAGTCTAGTGCTACTGCAGATAGTGAGCTAGGGACAGTATGGGGAATTTCAGACAGGCAATAGATTCCGGAAGGGAACCGGTTCTCAAACAGGTTCTGGTCTGTCATTTCAGACAGAACCCGTTTGAGAACCAGTTCCCTTCCGGAATCTATTTGCCATTTCATACAAAAACGCTTCAGTCCCGTTTAGGAACCGGTACTGAAGTGTTTTACCTGTCATCCACTTCCAAGTGGTATCCAGTGCCCTCTCCCGGTTCCGATACACTTTTCCCCCGCCTTTTTTCGCTCGGGTGGGCGATCTCCGGCTGTTTTTTTTTAAAAAAAAACCCGTTTGATTTATAGCGTTGTAGCGCTATAGCGCTATAACTGCTATAACGGTATAACGGAATAGCATTATATCAATCCCATTGGAATGCATGGAGTGTTTTGTTATACTGCTATAGCGCTATAAATTGAACGTTTTTTTAAAAAAAAAATCGGATCACCCGCGCGGGAGGAAAACGGCGGGAAAACAAAGCGGTGCAACTCTGAAATGCCAAACCGCTTCTGATCCGGCTCATTTCCGGTAGGGGCAAGCCCTGTGTGAAATGGCAGCCCTGTACCGGTTCACTTCAAAACGGATGATTGCCGGCTTGAAGCCAGGTGAAACTGGGTAATGTGAAATTCCCCTATATATTTAGACGCGTAAGGGCATTTGATTTCTTTTCACCCACTTACTGTTATATTTCTGCACCTTGTTTGTTTGACCTCCTATAAAATAAAGTATTTTCATTGTTCACTCTGCCTGGTTCTTACACCTGTTATTCGGCCAAAAGGAAGATCAGAAGGTTTTGGGAGGGTGCTCTGGGCCTTCTCACGGGAACCTAAATCCAGAGTGGTGGCAGCGTCAGGTGACACCCCAGCTGAACCGTGACAGGGCCCTTCCAGTTTTTTGATTGTATGATTCTTTGATTGAAATGCTGCCTTTCAGAGCTTTGGAGATCCTAAACCCCCTTTCTCTCTCTCTTTTTTCAGGCTGACCGTCTGGTTCCCGCACCGTTTCTCCACTCTTCCACCCTGCGGGTGCTGCCGGTCGTGGGGGCAGGGTGGGCAGGCAGCCCCCCAGACTCTCATTCACACGTGGGGCCCGTGTGTATGTGGGGGGGCCTGTGTGTTTTCTGGGCTCACTGCCGCTCGCTCTTAGCCGGCCCCGTTTCTACCGGACTCAACTCTCGCAAGCTCCTGTTTTTTATTAACTTTTTGTTTTTCTAAACCACGTCTGCAGATTTTCTAATAAACTCGGTTGGAAAGCAGCAAGCGATGCAGTGGGGCAAAGGGACAAGCGTGTGTGTGTGTGTGTGTGTGTGTTGTGTGTAGGTTTTAATGAAGGATGAGCAGTCCGCCAGCCGTTGTGAGGGCCAGTTTGGTGTAGTGGTGAGGAGCGCGGACTCTAATCTGGGAGAACCGGGTTTGATTCCCCACTCCTCCTCCACATGCAGCTGCTGGAGTGACCTTGGGTCAGTCACAAGTTCTCTTGGAGCTGTTCTCTCAAGGGCAGTTCTCGGGAGAGCTCTCTCAGCCCCACCAACATCACAGGGTGTCTGTTGTGGGGAGGGGAAGGGAAAGGAGATTGTCAGCTGCTCTGAGACTCCTTTGGGTAGTGAAGGGTGGGGTATAAATCCAATCTCATCATCATCTTTAATCTGGGAGAACCGGGTTTGATTCCCCACTCCTCCTCCACATGCAGCTGCTGGAGTGACCTTGGGTCAGTCACAAGTTCTCTCGGAGCTGTTCTCTCAAGGGCAGTTCTCAGGAGAGCTCTCTCAGCCCCCACCGACCTCATAGGGTGTCCGTTGTGGGGAGGGGAAGGGAAAGGAGATTGTCAGCCGCTCTGAGACTCCTTTGGGTAGTGAAGGGTGGGGTGTAGATCCAATCTCCTTCTCTTCTTCTTTGTAAGGGGTTGTGTGTCACCGATTATGAGCAGCTCTGCACATGCTCAGAAAGAGGACAGGTGCGAAATCGGCTTGTGTTATCTGGGAATCAGCATTCTCACATTGTTTGGAGGTTGAGGCATTCCTTGCCATTTGCGTGCCGCAACACCTTGTTTGTGCTCCGGGATCAGCAGTACGGAACCCCGTTTGCTAGGGCTGCCAGTCCCAGGTTGGGCATTTCCTGGCGAATTCCTGGAGACTAGGGATGGGGAATGGGGAGGGGCTTCGGCAGGGTACACGGCCACACCGACTGCCTTCCAAAGCAGCCATTTCCTTCCAGGGAACTGAATTCTGCCACCTGGAGATCAGTTGTAACCAGTGTTCCCTCTAAGCTTGAGCGAGTGTGAGCTACCTTACAGTTTTTTTAGCCTCCAGCTCGCACATTTTTGTCTCGGCTCAGGAAGGAGGGCTCCAGAGCAAACTGATTTTTGCAGTCGCCGAGTCGCTCGTTCCCAACGGTAATGCCAGTAGCTCACAAAGCAGAGTTTTTGCTCACAAGACTCCACAGCTTAGAGGGAGCGTTGGTCACTCCAGGGGGATCTCTGGGCCTCACCTGGGGGTTGGCAAGCCTATAGCTTGCAGAGGAGCGACTCATATTTACATGGTACCGTAGGCAGCGTGTGACTGTCGCTGTCCTCTTCTTTTCTAAAATCACGTTTTTCCATTTTCAAAAGTCCACTTTGGCTATCAGAGGGGCAGTTTCCTCCAAGCCTAAATAGACCCAGATTGAACCTGGGGCCGGGGGGCACATGCCAGTCCCTAGAAAAATTCTGAAAACCCAGTTCCGGATGGAGCGTCCTTTAAAAAGAAAAAAAATTAGGACCGGGTGCAAACCTTTAGACCTCTCCAGAATTCTTCCTGCAGCCAGGATGTCTCAATTTAAAAAGAGAGGGGAGAAAAAGAGATGTTTGAAGGGGGGAAAATGGAGCACAGGATGCGGCCTAGTCAGGGGCTGAGGCAATTCGCTCCTGAGCACGTGCCAAGGGCGCCCGCTGGGTTCTCTTCCCTCTTCTGATGAATGCGTGAGCACGAAGATACAACAGGGGCTCTCTGAGCGCATCTACGGAATCGAGGCTTCGAAGCCGGAGAGACCGGCCCGCGACAGCCCATCTTAAGACAGCCCCCTTCCGTCAGATCCAGCAGAGTTCTCTTCCTAGGGAGGGCAAATGCAGCCGGAGCTGTCGGCCACAGGAGCTGAATGCAGAGGCGGTCTGTCTGAGACGCCGGGGCCCTTACGAGGAAGAGCTCGCTCGCTCGCTTTCCGGAGGGGCCCCCCCCGAAACAGTGGGTCAGACGACCCCGCTGAGATTAGCTCTCAGGGCAAATGTTAAAACGTCCTTGCATGACTCAGGACCTGCTGAGTTTGTCATCTGGGCAAGCTTTGCTGCTGGTGAGGAAGAAGCGAGGTCAAGTTGGCGCTGAGCTCGCGGTGACTCCTCCTGGGGTTTCCAAGGGAACAGATAAACGGAGGCGGTTGGCCATGCGTAGCAAGCAACCTCTGCCTAGCTTCCTGGGAGGTCTCCCATCCAAGTACTGACCAGGGCCAACCAGTGTTCCCTCTCAGCTGAGTGAGTGTGAGCTAGCTCACAGTTTTTTAGCCTCCGGCTCACACATGTTAGTCTTAGGAAGGAGGGCTCCAGAGCAAACTAATTGATGCAGCAGCCAAATCGCTCGCTCACAACTTTAATGCCAGTAGCTCACAAAGTAGGATTTTTGCTCACAAGACTCCACACCTTAGAGGGAACGTTGGGGCCGACCTGGCTTAGCTTCCGAGATCTGACAAGATTGGGCCGGCCTGGGCAAGTCCAGGTCAAGGTGAGAGAGAAGCAGAGGTGGTTCGCTGTTGCTTTTCCTCTGCTACCCGCTCCGGACTTGCTCCGTCGTCTCCCATCCAAATGCTACCCGGGGCTGATCCCGCTTCGCTTCGGAGGTCTGGCAAGATCAGGCTGGCCCTGGCGGTGTGGGTCAGGGAGGGAAGCCTTCTTCCAGTGTTGCGTTTCCAAAGCGAGAGGTACCGGGGCATGAGCCCCTCTGGAAATCACACACCTGGAAGCTGTGCCCTCTTGGATCCGCAAGCTGCAGAGAGCCGCCTCTCGGGAGCAGTCCTCAAAAGAGCTCTCTCAGCCCCACCTCCCTCACAGGGGGTCTGTTGTGGGGAGGGGAAGGGAAAGGAGACTAAGCCGCTCTGAGACTCATAAGAGAACATAAGAGATGCCAATGTTGGATCAGGCCAAAGGCCCATCCAGTCCAACACTCTGTGTCACCCAGTGGCCAGAAATACCAGGTGCCATCAGGAGGTCCAGCAGTGGGGCCAGGACACAAGAAGCCTTCCCACTGTTGCCCCCCCCCCCAAGCACCAAGATTATAGAGAATATAAGAACATAAGAGAATCCAATGTTGGATCAGGTCAATGGCCCATCCAGTCCAACACTCTGTGTCACACAGTGGCCAGAAACACCAGGTGCCATCTGGAGGTCCACCAGTGGAGCCAGGACATTAGAAGCCCTCCCACTGTTGACCCCCCCCCCAAGCACCAAGAAGACAGAGCATCTCTTGCCCCAGACTCAAGTGAAGGGTGGGGTATGAATGCAATCTCCTCCTCCTCCTCCCCTTCTTCCTCCTCCCCTTCTTTCTTCTCCTTTTCTTCCTCTTCCTTTTCCTCCTCCTCTTCTTCCTCCTCCTCCTGCTGACAGTTTGGGGAGGGGGCCATGGCTCAGGGGCAGAGCCTCTGCTTGGCATGCAGGAAGTCCCAGGTTCAATCCCCAGCAGCATCTCCAGTTGAAAGACCTCCACCTGAGACCCTGGAGAGCTGTAAAGAGGGGCCGTGGCTCAGTGGCAGAGCCTCTGGTAGGCACGCAGAAGGTCCCAGGTTCAGTCCCCGGCATCCCCAGTTAAAAAGGATCAGGCAGGAGGTGATGGGAAAGACCTCCACCTGAGACCCTGGAGAGCTGTCAAGAGGGGCTGTGGCTCAGTGGAAGAGCCTCTGGTAGGCATGCAGAAGGTCTCAGGTTTGATCCCCGGCATCTCCAGTTTAAAAGGATCAGGTCATGGGTAACATGAAAGACCTCAGTCTGAGACCCTGGGTCTGATAAGGGTCTGATAAGGCAGCTTCATGGGTTCATGTCAGAGAGTTGGGGACTCTCATCTTGGCCGGAACTGGCCAAGGCCCTGTGGTTGCATCTCAGAAACTTTCATGGTCTTGGCATCTGTTCAAAACACACATGGATTCACACGTTCCAGAGCTAAGCCTTAACACTGTTTTTAATCCCACACACACACACACACAATTCCGTACCACAGACCCTCTTGGTGTCTTTGTGCTCTCTTCACTCTGAAAATGTCACATCTGCCCAGAGGGGCACCTGTTGGGGATCCATGTGTCTGAAGTAGGGGGCTGAGAGAGCTCTCCCGAGAACTGCCCTTGAGAGGACAGCTGAGAGAACTTCCGACTGACCCAAGGTCAGCCAGCAGCTGCATGCGGAGGAGGAGTGGGGAATCAAACCCGGTTCTCCCAGATCAGAGTTGGCGCGCTTAGCCACTGCACCAAACTGTGGAGTAGAGGTCGCAGTGTCTGGGATATCCGGCTTCAGGCCCCTGCTCTGCCTTGAAACTGGCTGAGTCATCTTGCGCTGGACACTGCTTGCGCCATGAGCTGGCCTGGCCTACTTTGCAGGAATGTTGTGTGGATAAAGGGAGAGCAGCACATGCCGCTCTGAGGTCCTTGGATCTCCGAAGAAAGGGGGGACGACGACATTGGGTTGATCTTCCTTGCAGTGGTACAACAAAGGGGGCGAAGGGTCTTTGCTCAGAAACGGACCCTCGGGATGTGGGCTTCAGACGTTGCCCGGATGTCGGCCTTCTGATTCCTTTGCAAAGAAGTCACTCTGGCTGCCGGGGGGGGGGGCACACCAAACATTCACGCTAGAGTGACCAGTGGAAGGCGACCTGGACTGGGAGCAGTTCCGGAAGGCTGCATCTCTTAGGCGTCCGGCTGATTCGAATTTGCTGCTGGTTTGGCTGAACTGGCTCCACTCAAAGGAATAGTTGCAGGGCAGAAAATTTGGGGAGTGCAGGGGGGGGGGGCTTCTCGGTGTGCCATACCTTGCGTCCAGCGCTGTGGTTTTTCCCCTTCTGCAGCCAGCTGCTAAACGTGGCTGTTATTGTTTTGGTACTCCTGCTGGTCCTGGAGCAATGACAGGAAAGCTGAACATCGCTACAGACAGGCCCATCGCCTTTAAGCAGAGTGGGGTGCTGTCGTCGACTAATTCCCGCCCCGAG